TTGTTATCATATTTGTCGAAGGAATTACTCATTTCTCTTAGGCATAACATCTCGAATCTCTGCCAGTCTATTTTCGTCTTCTTAACTGTGTACCGCGATAAAATTTTCAAACACTGACTAGAATCCTCTTCGATAAGATTACGAGTTAACTTCTTCATCGCCTTCGTTCATAAATAAACACAGTTTAAAATGTTGAAGGCCAAAGTCAACATCCAAGTCCTCAAGGTTGACAGGCGTCTTATAACTTTATTTAAACCTTTTTTCCGAGGTAAAGAGATTTAGATCTCCGAAATGAGCATTTTCTTTACAAATTTTGGTCCGTATAGCAAGTTACGGACAGTAAATTGACCAATCGCATGTCCAAAACAGACTCAGCCATATAATAATTAAAAATATTCGAAGAAACGTTTGAAATAATAAGCTATTCTACCGCTTAATATGGGTTCCGCTTAATTAAAAATTAATGAATGAGGCTGAGTATCTTATGAAGAATTATGAAGATCGAGGAGGGTGTTATCCGTCGAGGCCGTAGGCCGAGGCGGATAACACCCTCCTAAATCTCCATAATTCCTCATATGATACAAAAGCCGAATTCAATAACTGTTTTATTATTCATTCAAAATACATCCTAGTTTAAAAACATGGCTAAAACATGCTTACCTTCATCGATCCATCGATGTTAAGTTCATCCTCGATAGTGCTCGTTTAGGTTTGTCCAGCTCCGCAAATATCCTCAATATAGCAGATATCGCCCTTCGAGTTGTCTTCTTGCTGTTTTTGCCATGTTTTTAGCTGTTTTTTCGCCTAGTTCTTACTCTTGAAACGAATGAAATGTCCGCCATTTCTCAAGTGCACAACCAAAACAACTCAGCCTCGTCCCCAGGTCTTCTTGGTTAACGGTGCATTAACCTGCACGAACGCTGCGTTTTTGCCGTCATTTCCTCGCTAAGCACAAACTTCTTCCAAATTTGGTCCTCAGAAACTGGTTATGGTAGAAGTCTACTATGTTGGAAATTAACCCCCGTTGGTGTATAGGTATACGTATAGGTATAGGTAAATCATTAGTATTCACATACCTTCCTGCATACTAATTCGGTATAGGTATAGGTAAATCATTTATATTCATATGCCTTCCTGCATACTAATTCTGTATAGGTTTACTGATGAGTGAATACTACAATAGGAACAATAGGGTTGCCCGTTAAGTAACTTGAGCCTGGTTCATTGAACGTCTATTAAAAGAGAAATGGGAATAAGAGAAGTGATCACCAAGCAACGCGAAAAACGGTTTCCTATATCTTATTTAGCGCTAAAACTCAGATATATGAATAAAACAGATACAGAAAGTGTAGTTGAAAAGTCTTCATTTCAATTTAGTTTACTTCTTCTTATTTTTAGCGGTAAAACTCGGATATATATAAACTAAACACAATACACAAAGAGGAGCTGAAAACTCTTTATTTCAAGTTTGTCTGAAGTTTTCTCCTATCTATCTGGAGAACATGAAAAACTATTTAAGTCTCAACGTTTCACGCGCCGTTAGTCAGCTAATTATGCGAGTTCGCAAGCTCAAAGTTTAATACAAATTAGCTCTACAGGAAAGACCCAAGGGAGCATCTTTATTATATAGACAATTTTAAATAACTTAACAAGGATTAATTAAAACACGCGACTCGTGTAATAATTGCTAGCAATAAAACCACGAGAGAGATACCGTTTTAAAAACTTTATTAAAAAACAATGACAAAGAGTCAAATACACAGCGATTTGTAAGGAATGGAAATTAATTAATCTTCAGCTTCTTCGCCCATGGAGTACTTGTAAGGTTTGAATTTCATATGCCGACGTTTCCTTAGATGTTTGGCATGAGCTTTATGATCATCCAAATACTTTACAAATTGAACCCGACCCCTTTTGCGCTTCGGGCCTTGTTGTGATGGGGTTTCTTCTGTGGGAGGAGGGGTCAGGAAAGCAGGATTTAAGGGTTGTGGAGGGGTGAGGCTTTCTTTGTCAGGTTTTTGAGAGATAGCCGCTTGTGTTAATTCAGGGGTTACATTAAAGGGGTTGAGGAGAGTGGAGAATGCTGTCGTTGCTGTTGAAGAATCTTGTGTCCTTGATGTTAAACAGTGCTGATTATTTCTTCCGGTCGTGTTCTTGTATTTAATTGTTCGTTAAAAGCCAGGTATCTGTTTTGTAACTGAAAGTATCGTTTAGCTTTTTCATCATCCGGAAGATCGTCTCGAGAAAGCACGTCATCCATGTTGCCTTGTATTTCTTGCATAGCTGGAAGAAGCGGGACAGGCGAAAGAGTTTGCTGCTTCAGATATTTTAGAAGTCCTTGAGGAATATTTTCATGAAACCCTGCTTGGTTAAAGCCTTCTTCACTGGGCAGGACGTTTGATCGCAACCGACAATTTTTTTGGGTAGCAGTTTTCAGATCAATCAGAAGATAACCAAAAGGTCTTTTTACAGCCTCTTCGTACTGATTTAAAAAGAAATCCGTCTGCCCGGGATACATTTGCTTGGCCAGAGTCAAGATTTGCAATTTGTCTCGTGGATTCTTGAATAACACCAGATAATGGCTGTTTAGGCTTATGCTGTGGCTACCGTTCCCCAGATGAAATAGATTCTGCACGATATAAATCACGCTGAGATTGCGATGATGAGAACCACGAGTAAAGAGGTTCACAATTCGCTTGTCTTTATTGGCGTCAATCATCTGATCATCAAACACGATCAAGTTCCGTTTGTTCACTTCAAAATAGGAATCCTGCTCCAAAGCCGTAGGAATTCCCTTGACGAATTTAATGCGTGGCATGGCGACAAACATTTGTGTATACGCAGGCTGACATTGTAAATAACACCAAACGACCCTCTCCGGAGGAGGGTAAATGGTCTCTGAAGCTTTTTGCAATAGAGATCGAACCCATTCCGTTTTTCCGGATCAGATCATTCCGGCAATCATGGAGGTGAAAGGATGCTAGAAGCGAAACCGCTGACATTTCTGTGAAAATATTGGAACTGTTTGAAATGGGCGAGACCAGCATTGCGGTGTTAAGACATCACGCGCTTTTGCATATCATCTTTTTTACTGAAGGATCTTTCGCAGACAGAACAGAGCCAACTCATGTCAACTCCTCAGGAGCAAAATGTAGACTGAGAATAAGTTAGAATGTTGCGTATTGTTTTTCCCTTTATTCTATTGTTTTCTATCCTTGGCCCCGTCGTCTCATTTTTTTTCTCCACGAGATTCTATAAAAGACTGCCCACTTCACTTTGAAACACTGTCTCGTGTAGTGAACAACAATCGTGGTTTTCTGCAACTGTTAGCTGATTGCCCTGTTTATCAGCGCCAGTTTCTTTCAAAGACAGCTACACCACAGCAGCTATACCACAGCAACTACACGCACTAGTCCAAGTCTTATAAAATGTACTCATGGGACACATTCCTATCCCCGAAGAAAATAAGCGGATATTGCTGCCATATAAGGATGCTTTACTTGACCTGGCCAGTCCAAATGTCCCTTACAAAACAAAGAAGCGAGTCCTTGTACAAGAGGGCAGTGGTTTTATTGAAGATGTATTAGCCCCTCTTGTTTCAAGCTTAGGATTTCTAATGCTATAAAAGAGGCGGATGCACCGCTACGTTGACCATCCGAAGCTAAGTCTGTCACGGGTACTTATCAAAATGAAGAGAAAGATAGATTTTGTTGAAGAAGAAGAACACGAGAGTGAACATGAAGAAAGCGAAAGTTCTGGTGATGAAAGCGAGGATGATGAACCAAGAATAAAAGATGTTTTGAATCATCTTTCCCGAGCAGTGCAGGAAAAGCGCGCTTTTGATTTGCTGCATGGTATGGCCGCGTCTAAAGATATTCTTTTCTGGACCCCCAGCAGACAATTACTTCGAAATAAACGCACTATTCCCGCCAAAACATCGCTGAGCTAGTTGAGTATGTGTTACTCCCTCATTACAATGAACTTATCAAGCCTCGTGCGCTGAACACTTTTCTAGATGGACTTGCGGAGTTAGGGATAGATAAACGTTTGATCAAGTTCAAAATCAAGTTCAAGTTCATTTTTTTACACTTATTCAATTACAATACAACAACAATAAGGAAGAAAAAGAAGAAGTAAAAAAACAGAGCTAACTATACATTGAATTAAACATAACAAAGGAAAAGAGTGTGCAGCAGCCAAAGAAGCCAAGCTTTCGAGTCGGCTACTACCACAGTCAAATTTAATGTCAGGCCTAGGTACAGCTTTAAGATTATCAGCTATACATAAAGCAGCTCCACCTGCGTTTGTTGGCGAGTCCGTGTGATATTTACATTAGAAATAGACTTCTCCCCTTATTTAGTTTCTGTAATTCCAACTATATACAGCTTGGAGTCAAGGGAGCATAATAGTTCTTCCAATAGATTTAGTTTTTTAGATAAACTTCTAATATTACAGTGAAGAATTGAAAAAGATTTTGCGTCTGAATTTACGAGCATTTTATTAAAGCTACGGAATGAATAATATTCTGAGCAGGGGGTATTTAACATTAAATCTGGGTCGCACTCGTCGAATTTATTTGGACTTTGGAGGAGATCGTAAAGGTCACGATCATGACGCCTATCCGGCCAGCTGCCAACCATAGCATGAAATTCTCTATCAGTTAAATCATAAAATGGTGATCAACTACTTACGTCTTGCTGGTAATCAGCCATTTTTACCTCCGTAATATAATTAAACTGATAGCTAATTAATTGTGCTCGTCAAGAAAGTCTTCGAATTCCTCATGGGTTACAAAACATTTCGTAGTGGAGCTCTCTGTTTTCTTCAGCATTATTTTATCGTTAGCCGTCCAAATAAACTTGTAGTTGTGGTCGCGCTTGAGTTGTAAGATTCTGCCCAGTAGTCGTTTTCTGTATGGCGTTAAACTTTCACTGTCATGAATTTGTACTTTATGACTTACAACGGCAGATCCCGGCTCGCAGACCACAGACGGGAGATCTTTAGTCCGCTTGGACTTTAAGTTTTTCCTCTTGCTGTAAATTTCGTCTCTTTTCTCTCTTCGAGTGAACTTGACAATTAGTCGGTCTTTCACTTTCTTCGTTGGGGGTAAACGATGAGCGATCGATATATCGTTTTCGTTGAGGTTCACTCCCATAGCCTTCAGACATTTCCTTCACCAGCGACGCTGGGCTGTCATTAGATACCACTGGAATACCGGTTATTTCGAGACCGTCTCGTCGCGCGTACTGCTCGAGCTCATCCAAGTTGGCCTCGACATTAAAACCATCGTTGCCGAGCTTGCTTATGTCTTCCTTGATCTCTTTAATTTGGCTTTTCACGCCTTCGTTGTGTGCTTTTACGTCCTTGATCGCCGATATCATAGTGTCGTATTTCTGTGAAATAAAACTTTGAGACTTTTCAATTTCGTCGAACCTTTTTTTGAGGTCGAGAAGACTGGCTTTAAGCGAGTCAATTTCCTTGCGGATCTCCTTTCGGATATTGGGAAGAAATTCTTTTGCCCACAGCTCTTTTAAACTTTCCACCGTTAAACTCATGCTCTGGGTTAAATTCTGTACAGTTAAACGCTTAAATTCTGTACTGTTAAACTCTCCACGCGTTTAACTCTCCACCCGCCATCTTGGTCGCACGATCACACAATCCACATCGAGGCAAATAACAACAACAACACGCGAGGGTAACGCGCGCGTATAGTCGCATGTTACAAGACAATAAATCATCCATTTTTTTGTGTTTATAACATGGCGCCCAATGCGGGCAGAGGTTTGCATTCGTTTGAGTCGTTTTCATTTATTGAGTCGTTTCATTAGTAATCAAGGGAGAAGAAAAGGAAAAGTTAGATCGCCTGCGGGTAAAACGTGGAGGACATCGAACCGTCGCAACAAAAAACATAAACGAAGCAAGAACTATTCTCGAACACACCGATTTAGAAGATATCATGTGGAGCCCTTTGAAAGTTGTTGAGCGAATATTGGATGAAAAGCTAATTTTACTTGCGGGATTCGACGAGTAGATTACAAAAATATGTTCAGTTGATCATATCAAAGAGGAAGTTGAGGTAGCGGATGAAATCCGTTCGAGGATTCTACAGACAAAGGGGGAAATCGCCATCGCACTTGCTCGGGTGAAAAATGGCGGGACTTCTTTGTCTACTTCGTCTTTACATGGTTCGGCACAAAATCATCATACAGAGGAACATACAGCCACCAATAACCCAAATCAAGCTCCTATGCCATTACAAGATAACCAACATGCCTCATCAGAAAATTCAGGTCAAATTCATCAGGGTGAATCCGGATCATCACCGAGTACTGCATTTCAAACTAATTTCACAACAAGTCAAGATGTCGGACCTTCATCATCCAGTTCCGTTAATGAACTTCCTCCAATTCCGCCTCCTCAATCAGGTCGTAGTCAGTCTACAACCAAGCCACGTCTACCAAAGCTAGTGTTACCAAAGTTTAACGGTGAGATAACAAAGTTTAAGTCATTTTGGGATAGTTTTGACAACGCTGTAAATAAGAATGCTGACCTTTTCTCCGTTGGCAAGTTTAATTACCTTCATGCGTTGTTAGAAGGTCAGGCTGCCCGAGGTTTCACTCCATGAACACCCTCATTTGCAAGATTAAGACCTAGTAGACTGCATTTCAGGTAACATGGACAACTATGACAATATAGATGTGTTGATAGGCTCTGACTACTACTGGGATATAATTACAGGGGAGGTTGCTCGTGGAGATGAAAAATTGGTGGGAGTTAGTAGCAAATTTGGATGGCTCGTGTCTAGGCGTACAAAGGGGGACAGTGGAACTGCCCACTTCACCACATCAAATTCTTATTGTTCAAAAACCATATGACTTCATGGACAGCCAAAACCAGGCTACAGAATTAGCGAATAGTTTAAACTGGTTCTGGGACATTGAATCAGCCGGGATTACTGAGCCATCAAGCAAGGTAAACGAAGATGAGCAGTTTTTAAGATTCATTAAGTTTGACAAGGATGAAGGAAGGTATGAGGTTGACCTTCCTTGGAGAGAACAAACATGTAAACAGTCAGACAACTTTGATCTGTGTGTCACCAGACTTAACTGTTTGAAAGAACTTTTGAAGAAAGATGAGGAGTTACTTCAGGAGTATGACAGCATTTTCAAGGCACAATTAGAAGCTGGGATTATAGAGTTAGTTCCCAAAGATGAGGAAGATTTCGAGGGTGCGCATTTTCTACCTTATCATGGAGCTTTGAGAGAAGACAGGGAGACTACAAAGATGCGTATCGTATTTGATGGCTCAGCAAGAGCGGACAAGAATACCTACTCGTTGAATGACTGTTTAGAAAATGGCCCAAATTTAACTCCACATGTATTTGAAGTACTGGCCAAGTTCAGAAGTTATCCTGTAGGACTGACAGCTGACTTTGAGAAAGCATTTCATTAAATTTCAGTTAATCCGGCTGACCGTGACGAATTGAGATTTCTGTGGTTTAAGAACGTTGAGGAGGAGAGACTAGAGATTGTGCAGTATAGGTTACGTAGACTTGTATTTGGACTGACTTTGAGTCCGGCAATTCTGAACGGAACAATTCAGCATCATTTATCACATTACAAGGAACCAGAACCACAGGTATCAGAATTGCCAGATAATTCATTGTATGTTGATGATTTCCCGGGTGGAGCCAGTGATGATGAACCTGCTATTCATGTTTATCAAAGGGCAAAGGCCATCATGAAAGAATGAGGTTTCAACCTTCGCAAATGGAAGACAAATTCAAGCATTGTAAGGCAAAGGATCAGCGAGGAAATGAAAGAAGAAGATGACAAGTCAGAGGTGAAGATCCTTGGATTGAACTGGGACACTATGAGTGATGAGTTACGTTTTGAATTTGTCAGCGAAAAGATCAGTGCTTAAGCTTTCGGCCAAACTGTTTGATCCACTTGGTTTGTTAAGCCCCTTCGTCGTGAACATGAAGATATGGTTTCAGAAACTCTGAGTTGAAAAAGTGAACTGGGATGACCGTTTAGAAGGAACAATGTTAGCAAAATGGAACCATCACTTCAATGAGTTTTCATCCTTAGCCAAATTAAATATCCCCAGGTGTTACTTCGTGAGAGAGAAGAAGCCAGTTTGTCGCCAACTCCATGGGTTCAGTGATGCATCTGAACAAGCCATTGCAATGGTTGTCTATCTGCGTATAGTGTATGAAGCTGGAGATGTTGACGTGCGGCTCATTGCCTCCAAAACAAAGGTTGCACCACCGAAGAAACAATCAATCCCAAGATTAGAACTCATGGGTGCTTACATTTTATCAAAACTAGTAGACACAGTTTTCAATGCGTTCAAGTTACTGCCATTTGAAGTAGATGTGTACTATTGGGTAGACTGATTCACCACACTCTGTTGGATCAAGAACCACAGGCCGTGGTAGCAATACGTTCAGCATAGGGTGGACGTGATCTGTAAACTGACAGACATAGACAAGTGGAGATTTTGTCCTGGGAACATGAACCCAGCGACCAACCCTCAAGAGGTTGCTCTGGGAAGGATCTTGTTGAAAGTGAATTGTGGTGGTCTGGACTGACCTTCTTAAGGAAGCCTTCAAATTTGTGGTCCGAGACACCATCTACATCAGCACCTAACACGACTTCTGAAGAATTAGTTAAGCACACACCTGCGATAACACATTCACTAACAACCGCAGCGCTCAATAGAACACTGTATGAGAATCTGGAAGAAATAATGGACATTGAAAGATAAGGGTCCAAGTTGAAGTTGCTGCGAGTTACTGCTTACGTGTTGAAATTCATTCGGTTACTGAGGGGAGACAGAGGTGCAGTCAAGAGTAAGGAACTAAAGGCTGAAGATCTAAACTTTGCAGAGGTCACATGGATCCGAGGTGTGCAAGCTCATTCATTTGCTACGGAACGACAGAACCTTCTTCATGGTTGTGAGAGAACCAATTCAACCTATATCTTGATGAGGACAAGATTATTCGCTGTAAGGGTCGGATCAATAATGCAGACACAACCGAAGAAAGCAAGAATCCAACATTGCTACCTTCGCGCCACAGATACACAGAACTATTGATCAGGGAGGGACATGATCATGTTCACCACAATGGTGTCAGAGAGACATTGAATACTATACGAGAAACACATTAGGTTCTGAAGGGAAGAGAAGCCGTAAAGAGAATTCTCAGAAAATGCACCATATGCAGAAGATATGAGGGGAAACCATTCACTGCTCCCCCTCCCCTGACTTGCCTACAGATCGTGTTTATGAGGGACTGCCTTTCACGTACACAGGGATAGATTTTGCGGGACCACTCCATCTCAATTCTGCGTCTCCTGAGAACCGCAGCAAAGCATACTGTTGCCTGTTTACATGTGCATCAACACGTGCTGTCCACCTTGAGTTAACTGAGAGTTTGGCAGTTACGTCTTTCTTACAAGCATTCCAAAGATTTGTTAGCCGAAGAGGACTTCCAGCAAAGTTGTTGACGGACAATGCGAAAACCTTTAAGTGCGTATCAGTGGATGTTAAGAAGATTTCAAGGTCTAGCGAAGTGAAGCAGTACCTTGCGAACAGACAAGTTGATTGGCAGTTTATCGTGGAAGGAGCCCCTTGGTTGGGTGGTTTCTGGGAGAGACTCGTGCGTAGTGTAAAACGGTGCTTAAAGAAATCTGTTGGACGATCCTTATCAACGTTTGAGGAACTCCGCACCTTAGTCGTAGAGATATAAGCTACTCTGAACAACAGACCATTGACCTACATCTATGATGATGAAGGAGGACTCTCATACCCACTCACTCCTGCAGACTTGATATACGGTCGTCAAATCGCCACAATGCCACACCAGAGACACTGCAATGTTATTAGTACGTTCCAGTCATTGACAAAGAGAGCAAGATACCATTTCAGATTGCTTGAAGGTTTTAACAAGCAATGGCGTAAAGAGTATCTTTTACGGTTGCGTGAATACCACCGAAACAGAACTGGAGCTATATCGAACAATCCATTAGTACGAGACATTGTCGTTTTCAAGGAAGAAGGATCTGCGCGTTGTTGGTGGAAGCTAGCCAAAGTCACGGAGCTATTGAAGAGCAGGGACAATGTTGTGAGGTCAGCAAAGATTCAAGTTCTCACCACAGAGGCGCAAAGGAGACCGACCGTGTTGAGACGCGCAGTTCAACATCTCATACCACTGGTAGTGTAACATTCTTAGAGATGCTTAAAACGTTGACTATTTGAGATCGTTGTTATTCAAGTTCATTTAGTGTATCCGTTTTATGTCTTGTTTTGTCTTAAGAGTTGACTTGCGGTATATGCATCCCAATTTCTAGCCTGTTTGAGGACACTTACGAACACTGAACTTGAATTTTTAGGAGTTTCGTCCGTCACTTATGTCAGTTGCGTCGAACGTTGGACATTTATCATTTGCTTCAGAACTTTTTTGGTTGATTTACCTTTGGGCAATCAATCCCGGGGAGTGTTGTAATCATTTTATACCGGTGCACGCGAGGGTAACGCGCGCGTATAGTCACATGTTACAAGACAATAAATCATCCATTTTTTTTCTGTTCTTATAACCACCGTGATACTTTTCTTCATTTCGGGCAAACCTGGGAGAATATTCAGGTATCTAATAAAATCGAAATGGGTGGTTTAGTTAAGTTGACGGCATACAGCATACCAGAGGATTCTAATGCGCGTATGCATCGACCAGCCATACCCTTACATTTTAGATTTAACAGATAAGGGGTGGAGTAGTATAGGGCGCACCGGTTTGGCCTTTTTTTTGAACTGGAATCTAATTAGTTTGAAGTGGAATAAATTAACGCCGATGACGTCATAGCCTTTTGTCTTTATCTCATGAGTAAAATGCGCAGCAATCTCATAAAGATAAGGTCGTGTGCTATTTTTAGTTGGTTTAGGCTTTCTAGTTATTTTAAGGTCGATAAACCTCTTCGTTTTTGAATGGTTAGTTAAAAAATAAGAAACGTTTTCATTGGTTAATTCATAGTGTCTGAGGGGTAAAGTCAAACTTGTCTGTGATTTAAAATCACTGGGACGTAACGTAATTATGCAAGTCCTATTTCCTGCTGCTTTGATTGTCCCAGTTCTGTTTCACTGATTTTTGGCGGGCAAATCGTGCATATTAATGAGGGCAAAGGCAAAATAGCTCTTTTTAGCACGAAAGACAATGTTTTACTTACCCCACACCCCTCCTACTTCTCGGCAACTGATTTATTTTCCCTTTTTGATTTTACTTTTTATTTTTTATTCCCCTCCTTAGTTTTTTATTCCCTCCTTCACAATTGTATTATTTTCCCTCCTCCTCCTCGACATTGCTATTGTTTTCCCTCCTTCTCCTCATTTTTATTGTTTTCCCTCCTCCTTCTCCTCGTCTTCCTCCTCCTCCTCCACATTAAAATTGAATTAACCAATGAAAACGTTCCTTATTTTCTAACTAACCAATCGAAAACGAAGAGGTTTATCCACCTTAAAGTAACTAGAAAACCTAAACCAACCAAAAATAGCACACGACCTTATCTGCGCATTTTACTCATGAGATAAAGGCAAAAGGTTATGACATCATCGGAGTTAATTTATTCCACTCCAAACTAATGAAATTCCACTTCGAGAAAAAGGCATAACCGATGCGCCCTATGCTACTGGGTGGGGACAGGAGTACATAAAATTAAAGTTCTGGACTTTGTTTTTCTAGGTGAACTGTTGCCTGACTCGAAAATAGTATAGGTTTAGACAACGCACCGTATGACGCAGCTAAAAATGAAGCGAAAAGGGCAAATACCCGCCGCCATCAGAGAAGCCTTGACAACTGGGAGATAAGATGAGACACCAGCAGATTCATTTTATGAACTATGGAAAACATTACAATGAAAGAGATCGAAGGTTACATTGCTCATGATGGGAAATACTTGGTAATTGGTTACGGGAAGTGTCATGATAAGCCTGTCCCCAGTTATCCTAAGGAGTAACAGATCTTACAATTTCTCATTCAGTGGAAAAAGACACCTGCTATTAAGCACTGAACAAGAATAGATAACGTCTTAGGTTGTATGAGCTAAAATCTCTAGACTGCTCTCCATACTTTTCCTTAAGGAATTGGATGGAGAATTTGATTAAGGGCCCAGTGACCTATCTTTCGCGTGATCTCGCGCGTTGCTAAGGACGTGCAATTTCACTTCCGGTCGATGGCGTCATTATTTTTAGCCAACGCCACGCGCAGCAAATCATAAGTGCGCGAGCCCGGCAAATTTGAAAACATTTTGCCAAATTGCTACTTTCAAACAATGAAGCATGTCACCCCGGGTTTGAAAATATGGAAAAGTAAACAAAAGGAAAAGAAAAACAAAACAAACTGACAAAGCTGAAAAAAGACCAAAACAAAACGGAAACAACAAAAAAAAAACATGAAAACATGACGGGCCGAAAGGTACTGAAGAGGAAAAGACATTGCTTGGAAATTTCTAAGGCGCGCTGGTCCATTCCGTCGAAAAAGGATTTTGCTTGCCAAGTTGAAATTAGTTTCAAGCAACCCACTCATGTCCAAACTATTGCCACGCAGACTGACTCAGTTTTACTTGCTCCTTCGTCCGAAGTAAGTGCTGTAAAACAAGACGGCGAACTCGCTCTTCATGCGGACAAATTACTTGACTTCTGTGTCAATTTTACCAGCGCTGATGTGCAAGAAGCTACAAAATGTGGCAGCCTTGCCGAAAAGGTTACTGAAAACGGAACAATTCATAAAGTAGAGAGTGTGTTTGCAAGCAAAAGTCACAAACTTGATGAGCTAACGAGTAAGAATCTCTCCATCAAGCCATCGTCGTTTTTGATTTCGACTTCTGAAGTTATGCGAGATGCTGTTTCAGAAAGCAAATGCAGTGGATGTGGAAAGTCGGGGCAGTTCGCTTTTAAGAAAGAAACGGAGCCACAGACAGGAATACTAAAGTTGGAATTTATTTGTTCCGAATGTAAGAAACTGTTCAGTGTATCTAGCAACAGCGAGACTATTCTTGCTCGTACGAAACCAAAGTGCTATCTGACCAATTATGTCCTCCTCGCGTTCATCACCTGTGGATTGTACTATAAAGATTATGACCACTTGATGGGAACCCTAGGAATAAGCCACTTTAGCAAAAAGCAGTGGATCCGAGTAATTGAGTGGATTGCTCCGGAAGTACAAAAAATAGCCGATTGGAGTGTCCAGCAGTCGAGGAAAGCGATAAAAGCGCGCGGAGATCAAGACAAGCTCGAGGTGATGTTCGACGGCTTCTACTTGACCAGAGGCCACTACTCCAACAATTCTTCTGCCACCATGCATGACGCTAAGACCGGTAACATCATCGGCTATGCACATCGCACTAAACGAGGACAGGATGCCAACTGGGAGGGGACATCTGATGGCGCAGAGGGGAACATGCTTGACGAGATTCTTGCCGATTTGATCGAAAACGAGCGTATGACCATCAAGAAAGCGATAATCGATAAAGACGCCTCTTGCCATGAGATCATTCTTACAAGAAGCCCGGAGACAGAAATAGTGTTTTGTGGTAACCACACAGCAAAAACCTTCCATACGGACTTGGAACGAGTGAAGAAAACGCCTTGTCAGGTGAGTGTACAGCTTCGTATCTTGTCCCTAACCGCCTTTAATGTGCAGTTCCCAATTTAGTTCACTTTTATTTCTAAAGTCATTGATCACGAGACGGCAAAGTTTTTTTTTCTAAAAGCGTACTTGCTAGAAAAAAAGACATAAAATTTGCTTTTTCGGCGCTGTTTAACTTTATTTTATTTATGCGGACCGCAGAGGAAACGCAACTGTCAAAAAGTTCAATAAAGAAATCTCGTGTTTGCTATCATTGCCATGTAAATTACTGGTAATGTCAGGAGCTGGTAATGTGCTTATTTTCTTTGGGCGTAATAATTTCATTTCATACTGCCGAATTTTTCTCCTAATTGAGTTTGGTTGCTTGTAAGATTTTTTCAATCTAAAACGATTTCAATTATAATCATTACATGTGTACCATTTGATATATCCACAGTGCAAAAGCCTTGGCCTACCCAAGTGCAAAAGAATGACAGATGCAATGATAACCAACGCAAAAAAGTGTCTGAAAAATCTAACAAAGTGCGAAGAGATTTACTCCTCAGAGGACCCCATGGGGGACTTTGGCAAAGCCATCCTAAATTATTATCAGCACTACACTGATGACCACACTTCAACATGGTGCAGATTTCACAAAAAGGTAGTAGTAATACACAGAAAATATTTTGGTGCTTGTTGCATCATTGCAAACATAAAACATAAAACCAGGCGATTAAAAACTGTACAGTCAGAGCTTTTTGTGTCTTTATAATAACTTGTTTTGGTCACTGCCAACAGTAACTATTATTATTGGCATTAATAGTTCTTTATTCTTAAAAAATTGTGGTTATGTAATTGTACAGGCAGATGAAGATGGAAAGCCCTACCACTGTAAACATTCATTTAGCTGCCCATCACAACTGAGGGAGTTTAAAGCACTTCTCGAAAAAATGGCCACCAGACCTGAGGAGTACATTACTCTTGATGGGAGAGTAACAAATAACATCCCAGAGGGATACCATGGGATTGCTTTAATGTACCGGAACAAGAGGATTGACCTGGGATCCGTACATTATAAATGCAAGACTAACATGTCAATACCTCACAAGGTGATCAACAATAATATGGTGATCTCATTAACGCATTTAATAAAATGGTGTAATTAAAAAAATTATTTCACAATAATCATTCTCTTGAAACAAAATTGATCAATGATAATTTCAAGCATTATTGAAAAGACCAATGCTAGAGATTTCATTTGAAAGAGCTAACACAATTTGAAAAAAAAAATCACTACTTAAAACAATTTAACGTTCGACATTTAAAGCTATAAACAAAGATAAAATATAATATCCAGCTAAAGCTGCTGTAATAGTCATTCATATATACATTGACAACACTTTTCTGTAGAACATTGGTCCTATCTGGGTACTTCTGCTTTTCCAACTCCTTCAAATTCCCATGCCAAAGAAGTCAGTTGAATGCATAATCAAGAGACAGGAACAATATGACAGAGAGATCAAGATGAGAAGCGCACAAGATTACCAAAAGAAAAGGTTAATTTTTATAATGCTATTTTTAATTTATGAACTGCTAATTTTTGTAAAAATATTTTACAACTAATAATTAAGACAGGAAAAATACAAATACAAATGTATAACGATTGCTGCTAGGTAAAGTGCATTTTACTACAAGGAAACTTAAAGTTAAGAAATTGACATCTAAAATGTGAATGACTGTATTATTACCTATATTTTACCTCTGTGGTCAGTGAAAAGGCAACAAATTGTTCAAAAAAATTCATTCAAAACAATGAGTAGTGTTACAAAAGAGAATGGTTTATCCCATATTCTCTCTTAGAAATGAAAGGAAAAAAAAGAAGATGAAAAAACATGAAAAAGAGAAGGAATTTATGAAGTCACTGAAGGCAGTTTCGGTAACAACATCCTACTGTGGAACAGTTGGTTCTGAGTCAGAAGAAAGTGGTGACAGTGAAAATTCAGAAGATGAGTTATCTGAACCAGATAACTACATCTCCAATTTAACAGACAGCAGCGATGACGATGAATCAAGTGATGAAGTGACAGACAGCCCTTCCCCACTGTACTTTCTATATGATTGTGAAGGTACTGGGGGATCAGTCTATAAGGACCACATAGTGGAGATTGCTGCTGTTCTGCAGCCCCTGCCTGGCAATGTAGAAACCAACATCCCATCTACATTCCAGTCTCTCATCAACACCTCTAAGAGAATAGCAGCACCAGGTTAGAGGTCGAAAGTAATCAATAATGTGAAATAATGCTTTTTCCATTTTTTAATGTTTTTGTCTGATTGAAGATCAGTAAAAACAAGACTGAATAGCATTACATGCAATATATTTTGTTTTTCAGTTGTGAAAAAATGTGGAATAAAACAGACTGACCTTTTAAACCAACCAAAACTATCAGAAGTACTTCCAAGGTTTATATCATGGATCAAAAATCTGACAAATGAGATTTCCACATCAACAAAGAGAAAATACTTCCCAGGTACACAAAGTCATACTACTTAAATGAAATGACAGTCCATCTCTTGTATACAAAATTAAATCAAAATAGTCCATTCAAGATAAGAAAAAAGCACAAAGTCCAAAACCATGTAAAAATAATGTCATTTTATTAATTTATCTTATAAATATTTATATGGCTGAGATCAGAATTCTGAAATATAAGAAGAAGAAGTGTTATAGAAATAGTGATGACAAGCTACTACAAAAGTAAAATAGGAATGGGATTATTTCATGAACAGTTGTTTACAATACTGTTGTATTTCTTTTCAGTACTGATTGCGCATAATGGTTTTGTTTATGACTTTCCACTCCTGTTTGCTGAGGTGGACAGACGATATCCCCTGTTGAAAAATGATCTCTTCAAACACATCTGCTTTGGAGATTCATTAGTGAACCTGCGAACAGTAAGATTGAGAGATTTTAATTTTAATGCTAAGAAGAAAATGCAGAAAAAGTACCAAAAATGTATGGATTTTGGTAGTCATGCAGTGTACATGTATTGCTTCCTTTACTTTTATTTCTGTAATAATGGTATTACACTGCATTTACAACACTGAATTAACTTGGTTGCTAAAGCATTCTTTGTTTAAGTACATGTATTCATTTTTTGGACAGATATGTAGTTTTTCTATCTCAGAAGTACAAGTATATACCGGTAATCATGACACTCTTATGACAAACAAGTGGTTTTCTAAGAAGACAACTAATACTTGAGCAATTTGTTTATTTTCAACAGATGAGGAAACAAGGAAAACTAAACTTACAAAAACACCAAAAGCTTGGCATGCCAGCACTACATGCATTGTATTTTCCAAATGTAAATTTTCAAGGTAAACCTTGTGCACTGTAGGTTCAGAATTTGTTGGGGACATAAATGTGACAACTGCTTCTAGTTCAACTTGCAGTAAACAATAGCGGTAGCAAAACTCCAGTCTGAGTAGGGCAGAGTCTTATTGCATCACAATATTATGATGTTTCATGGAGCACTAAAAATTTTCCATTCATAACAAACTGGGCCAAGTGAACTTTTACAAAGACTGTTTACTAGCGACAGGGAAAAATGGCCAATAGCTGACCCACCGCCCCCAGTAATAACCCCAGAATAAGAAACAACTGTGGGACACATTTCGGCTTCAGTTCCCTCCTCATTTCTCAATTGGCATGAACAACTGGCAATGATTATAGGCTTCACTAAATCCAGAGATGCAAATATCCAAACTCTGTGTAAGCATGCATAATATTCTATTAATTTCATTTGACATGCATAATTTCATATTTTTATTTCCAACATAAAACTCTTAAACTTTGTTATACTTTGAAGCCCACAGAGCATTGGCTGATGTGCAAGCAATGAGAGATGTATTGTTTTGCACAGACCTGAAGGATATAATTCCCTTCTACGAGCCTCTCCTGAGGACTGCTCAAGAGCAGAAGAAAAAATTTAAAGCCATGGTACAAACAAGAGAAAAGAGCAAGACCCTCCTCCTCAAATTAGGAAGTACTGTGTCTGGGGGCATGGCTCGCAAAGCTGCTAGCCAGGGATTCTCATTTGGAGATTTACAAAACCTAAGAATTAGATTTCAAGAGCAGGAGCAATTTGTCCACTTTCTTAGAGCTAAAGGCCTTTCTCTAGTGTGCTGTCGAAAGCTAGCTGGGTACTTTTATGGGCAGTAAGAAGACACAGTCAGGGCTCAAAATAATAAATTATAGCTTGGTCATGGCTTATTTCTGATTGAAAGAAACATTGTTCACCTAACATTCAAAAAGTATTTTATGAGGTATTCTTTCTCATGATCTTGCAGTTGGTAAAATGTGATGAAAAATGAATTCTCTTTTCCCTTTTTTTTATAAACCACTTTTGAGTGTTGTCCGAGAAAGCTGAAAAGTTTACACAGGACGTGTCTATCCTATAAACAATAAACATGGTTGAAACTGCATTGGTCACCACAAGTAATCAGGTTTCTGAGATTGAGTTAAAAACTAACACAAGGCTAGCTGTTTCAATAAAAAATTAAGTTCAAAATAAACAATCATGATCACACAAATTATACAATTATTGAGATGAACAGATTTTTCAGTGAACATGCTTTGTTATGATTGGACTAGTACTTTGACGTTGTTGAGAAACAGGTTCAGCAAACTAACACAAGCAAATACATGAAAATAACTAACCACGAGTAAGAAGACAAATTGGCTAAGGGGTTAGATAAAAGACTTGCCTTCTTTGGAAATACTAAAAAGAAAATACAAATCATTGTAAATATTAAATTCATGACACAATATTATTTTCAACAATAACAAGCACATGTACATTATAGTTCACAAGATACTGGGTCATTTACAAGTTTATCATGGTGAATAACCATGGGTGGTAAAGGAGCCGGCAGCAAAAGCCATACATGTATTTTTACCTGTAAACATTTTAAAGTTGTGAGAGGAATAAAAGTCAAAATAGTGCATTTATTTACAAAGGAAAACTGCCAACAGGGTAAAATGTGGATACCGGTAATAATACACCGGTCCTAGAGGTTTTTCTTGAAAAAATTCAAACAGCCGAGCGAGGAAAAGAAGGTGGTCTTCTTCGCCGCGTGAATCGCGAAAGTTTTTGTCTATCGTGCCTCTCGTCTCACGGGAAGAAAAATTTCACGAAAAACCTCTGGAACCAGGATTCACAACACAGAAGTTGTATATGTAAATGCAATGTATGCCAGGTTCATTATACTAAACGCACTGGTACAAGACGAAGCAAGACATGTTTGTAACTAATAAGAAATAAATGAACAGTTGAAAACATAAGCTTCCATGTACGAACAAAGGGGTCAAGCAACTTCCAAAAACCAAGCCACCTTAAAAGGATATTTATCAACTGCTCCAGTAATCCCCCAGTGATGAGGTAAATAGTGTGTTTACAGCTATCTTACGTTGAAACTACACCCAAAGGTCACCTACAGGATCAGGCAAAATTAAAAGTTTTTTCCTCACCTTGTTTACACCGACAATCCTGCGACTCGCACCGTCGTACGGTCCGCCAGGGACCTGAAACAGTTTCCTCTACCATTTTATCTTCTCTCTGAGCCCATAAAAGAATCTTAAGTAAATCTTTTCCTTTTCACGGATACTTTTCGTCCATGGCGTAGTAATTTCATATATAAATAAACTTACAGAAGTCCTGAAAACCCACAACACAACAACGCCGCGATCAACTATTCCACTGCTTGTCGGTTAGCACGCACAGCATATTGGGTAAGTATTATACGCATGCGTTAAGAAAGCCACTTCCGGTTTTGCAAAAAAACTCTAAAATAATCGCGAGTTTTGGCTCAGATTCTATTTTAAAGGTACCGGACAATTAAGACTGAAATTCCGCAAAAAAACTATGCATTCATTTTCGGGAATTTTTCTCTTTGAAGCAAATCATGACCATTTCGGTACCTCAAATCTGGGTTAGAAATCTTGTTCAAAGGAAATACAACAAAAACGATGCATAGTTTAATGAGAAATTAATCAAAAGTGAAATATCCACGAAAAAAACATGGTTGAAATGATAAACTTCCAAGATTTTAGACATTTTCGTTTCTGGTCACGTGAGCGTGGGCGTGGTCCGATGACGTCATATTTATATTTGTATATCACCAGGAAGTACAGTGCTATAAAATGACCAATGCATGACAAAAGGAGTCCAAGCTACACCACCAAAATTTTTCCCTAGCAACGGCTTCAAAAGATAGGTCACTGGGCCCTTAAGATATTGATAAGTTATTGAAATTGGTGCAGAAGATTTATGTTGTTCACTGTTGGGGCTTGATTGGTTAAAGGCCATGTGCTGGGTTCAAACTTATATCTGTTTTGTGGTAGAAACCGATACTTGCGTACACAGAAGAAATCGATGAAAACGCAACCTGGTTATTTTATTTCATTTCAATTTCGCCACTCTCTTTGAAGTACCGCAACCGGAGCAAATGTCAAGTCCGCTGTGTGTTTAAAAATACTGGCATGAAGAGGCTTCACCTTCTGACTGCAGTTCTAAATCAAATATAGAGGACAAAATGGATATTGTAGGACCACAATGAACAAAAATAATTTTACAATTAAGCTGATCCGTTCATACAGTTAGCCAAGAATTTAATTTCTTCAAAAAAGCTTCGCTTTAACTAGGCGCAATTAAGAAAAGCACAATACAGACATAAAAGAATTGTCGAGTGAAAACGCCAACGCCACCCGCAAAATAAGTAATTTTTTATTGTTAATAAATTTGTTAAGCAACACATAAATTTCAAAATCCCTTGAACGTCAAAAAATTTAAGTATGTTTTCTTATCAAAAATGGAAGTAATTGCCCACGGCTCGCTCAGTATGTTCACTGTCTTCTAACGTTTGCATGAGAAACAATCTGGCACCTTTTTTCTAAGTACATTAAGTGAAAGAAACTAGATTATTAGCAAGTTTGACAACTTTAATGAGGAAGAGGAAGTGGACATTTTCGAAGCACTTTTCTCATGAAAACAAGCTTTTTTTACATGCAAATAGAAAGCTTCCGAAAAGCTTCAATTTAACTAGCCGCAATTAAGAAAAGCACAATACAGACATAAACGAATTGTCGAGTGAAAACGCCAACACCACCCGCAGAAAGAAAATGGGCGATGGGAAGTTTCTCTTATATTTTTCTCGCACTTGATCGAGTGCAATTCCAACCGAAAACAAGGCTTTATAAAATTTTACGGG